TGTGTGTGTGTGTGTGTGTGTGTGTGTGTGTGTGTGTGTGTGTGTGTTTATCCTACTTGGGATTTTTTCTTCAGACTTTTTTTCTTCTTTATCAGATTAGATAATTTCTTTTGAGCTGTATTCAAGTTCTCTGATTCATCTGTCACCTCAAAACTTTGTTACACATCTAGTGATTTTGTTGTTTTGGTTACTATACTTTATAACTCTAGAATTTCCATTTCCATTTGTTTTGTTTTGTTTGTATGTTTGATTCTGTTTCTTTATTGAGACTCCCTCTTTTTTGGTAGTGGTTATTATATCTTACTTTAATTCCTTAAAATGATCTTCTTTAATTTTTTGAAAATATCTATAATCGCAACTTTGAAGTCTTTGCTAAATTGAACTTAAAGTCAGTTTCTATTGACTGCTTTTTCTGCCTGAGTAAGAATCACATTCCTGGTTTTTTTTTTTTTTTTTGTATGTATTGTAATGTTTTGTTGAAAATTGGACTAGATAATGTATTCTAGAAACTCTGGATTTGGATTTTTTTTCCCTGTGGGCTTTTTTCTCCTTTTCTTTCTTTGTAACCTGTCTGGACTTAAGCTGCAGAATCTACCTGCCCTGTGATGTGTTGCCCCTGATCTCTCTGCTTAACTTTTTTTCTTTTTTTTAATTTAAATTTAAATTTTTAATTTTGTCTTCTTAGGAGATTACCCTGTGTCTGCATAGTTTGGTGGTTAGACAATAATTGGTCAAAGGTTTGCTCAAATACAACAGCCTGGAAGGCTTTCATTTTCTGTCAGCAGACAAGTGCTTGGGTTGGAGAGCACTTTCAAAATTTAGGCCTTTTTCAAATCTGCCTTGGCCTTTATTTTCGGCTCGTCCCTCTTGCACCTCCCCTGGTATACTTGCTGCCATTCTGGTGAGAGACATATGGAAAGCTTGGCTCCTCTCTGTGTGTGCAGCTGTCAGTCAGTTGGGGTTGTGAGGAGAGCTTATCTAGTCCCTCTGTGGTTCTCTCATTTCCAGATCTCCTGGTTAAATTTATGGCTGGTCCATTGGTCTTTCACTCATCCCAACCACAGTTGCCACCCCAGGCTCAAGAGCTATGTGATTTCCTTTGTTTCCTACCAAGTTTGTTCATTTTTCTGGCAACACTGCTGGGTGTGGGCTTTTGCCCTCTACCTCAAATCAGGTCAGTCCTTTCTGGCAGCAAAGCTTCCAGCTTTCACAGCCAGCCTCATCCTGGTAAAACTACTATACAAACCACACTGTGTAAATGGGGATACAAGCAACTCCAACCAATAAGGCTGCTGTCCCCACTTCATTACCTAAGTTCCAGCAGCTTTTCATAAATCAATGCTTCTCACTTTATTTGCCTTTGGTTCATTCCAGAATCTCAGAATGATTATTTTTGACCATTTTGTTCAGTTTTATTTTAATTTTATGGGGAGATTTTCTGACCTCATCATTCTCCCGTAACTAAAAGTTCCATATTTCAAATCTTCTGAAAACTTTAACTCATTTGGCAGTTGGTGTTAGTGTTGAGCTGTCCCAGTTCAGTAAATAATGTCAAGATGTCCCAATGATATCTATAGGATTTTAACTTCTTAATCTAAGCAATATAAATTAGATTAAGCTCTTAATATCAATTATGATATAATGTGTTTAGATATTGTCTTCTTAAACGTTTTATTTAGGAAATTATGATGTGATGACCCCAATGGTTGATGTACTTATGAAACTTTTTCGAAATATGGTGAATGTGAAGATGCCATTTCATCTTACCCTTTTAAGTGTGTGCTTCTGCAACCTTAAAGCCCTAAATACTGCTAAGAAAGGGACTATTGATTATTATTTAACACCATCATTATCAACAACTTCACGCTCTGGCAAGCACAGTTTTGTAAGTACACTGTTACTGGATTTGTATGGTTAAATTTAGAGATATAAATTTGTGTTTAACTGATATAAGTTAGAGATTCTTTTGGGTGATATGATTTGAATGACTTACTTGTAATAGTGCCTTTCATATTATGGTTTCTAGCCTTAAGTATACTGTACTGTGACCTAAGAATAAAACATAAACATCACTGGATAAAAGAGAAAACCTTGATAGAGGTTCTCTGTTTTGGAACTGTTAAAACATTTTATAACAGTATATAGGAATATGATGATTAGCTCACATGAAAATATTTTCAAATACTGGAAATCTAATCTTGTTGTCAATTTATACATAAGCTACCAGCGACGCCTCCCCGCCAAATGTCTTTGTTCAAATATTTAAATTTTCTTGGTTTTGAAATTACATAAAATTCTGGTAGCAATATTGATAGAATATGACTCCTCATTTTACAACTGTAGAAATTAAGAGTGTGGCAATAGAGAGGCAGAGGCTAGTCCTATTTTCACATGACTAAAAGAAAATGCAAACTTTTGTTTACCAAATGCTTTAAAAAATAATCACCTTTTACTAAATTGTTTATGCCTACAATTAACACTTAATTTTATTTTATTTATTTATCTATAAATTTTATTTATTATTTATTTTTGGCTGCATTGGGTCTTCGTTGCTCCGCACGGGCTTTCTCTAGTTGTAGCGAGCGGGGGCTGCTCTTCGTTGCGGTGCGTGGGCTTCTCATTGCAGTGGCTCCTCTTGTTGCAGAGCACGGGCTCTAGGTGCGTGGGCTTCAGTAGTTGTGGCACATGGGCTCAGTAGTTGTGGCTCACGGGCTCTAGAGTGCAGACTCAGTAGTTGTGGCACACGGGCTTAGTTGCTCCGCTGCAGTGGGATCTTCCCGGACCAGGGCTCGAACCCGTGTCCCCTGCATTGGCAGGCAGATTCTTAACCAGTGCGCCACCAGGGAAGTCCAACTCTTAATTTTAAATGTTTTTATTATTTTCTTTATTTTTATTGTTTAATCAGTCATTATAATTTTAGTAATATTTTCATTTACATTTAAGCTTATAATGAGAACAGAATAGTGTTATGGAAATACTGAATTAGTGCCCTCTTCTAATTACTTTTTTTCAGTGACCCTTTTTATTCTGTATATTAACTGACATTTAAAAAGATGTTTACTTTTTAAGTAGTCTGTAGAATGAGAATTAAAGGTCTTTCATCCACAGTAGTATTAGAGAGTAAACATAAGTGAAAGTACCTTGTACATGTCTGGCACACAGTTCATGCTCAATACAAACAGTGACCCAAATCTCTTCTCCTTTTACTTTTTGGAAGTTACTAATGTGTTGATGTTTCCTGAATTATATATGACTATCTGTACATTTTTATGGTGCTTGAAACTAGAGGGAAAATTAGGCAAATTAAAATGGAAGGTGTTTTAAAATTTTTATTTCATGTAAATATAGAATAGTGTTACATCTTAATAATGATACTGGGTTTTTACCATAGAAGTATTTTTTTTTCTTTCTGTTAAATGTTACACTTCAAAAATAGGGAATTTTAGAAAACCAGCCCTTGGTGCTATCTGTGCATATACATATGTTTTAGATACCCTTGGTGAATCATTTTATTTTTATAGGCCACCAGTCTTTTTATTCACAGAATTGAAAGTTTGAATACATGATTAAGGCCCTTTCCAGGTTTCCAGTACATACCTACCTTCTGGCTCAGTGCTTTCTAGGAAGGAAGCCGTCTTCCTGGAATAGTGAGTAAAGATCCACACAGTTGTGTGACTAATTGTGGTGGACTGATCATTTCTAGTTGTTTGGAACTGGCCAAAAGGATTGAAGTTATGGAGTAGGATAGAAACATGTTGGTCGGATAATAGCTACAATCACACTTCAGCAGCATGAATGTTTAAAAGATATCAGTTATCTAAATTTTTCTGTTACCCTTGTATTCTAGAAAATGAAAGACACTCATATGGAGGATTTTTCTAAAGACAAGGAAACAAATTGGGATTTGCTACCAACTGGAAAAATTGAAAGTACAAGAACTGGGGAGTCTCCATCAGATACTACAAGTTTTTCTAAAGAAAAAGACAGTAACGAATTTCCACTTTCCTCACTTCCTGCGGGTATTGACCAAGAGGTCTTTAAGCAGCTTCCAGTAGATATTCAAGAAGAAATCCTTTCTGGAAAATCTAGAGAAAAAGTTCAAGGGAAAGGAAGTTTGAGTTGTCCATTGCGTGCTTCTAGAGGAGTATTATCTTTCTTTTCTACAAAACAAATGCAAGATGGTTCCTTAAATCCTAGGGATCATTTATCCAATACCAAACAGATATCCTCTGTATCTCCCTGTGAACCAGGAACATCAGGTTTAAATAGCAGTAGTTCCTCTTATGTGTCTAGCCAAAAGGATTATTCACATTATATAGACAGTAACTTAAAAGATGAACTGATGAGTCAAGGACCTAAAGAGTCTCAAGGATTCCACTTTTCAAAAACAGACCCTGCTGTATCTGTTTTCCATTCATTTCCAAATGTGCAGAGTGAGCAACTTTTCTCCAAAAACTGCACTACAGACAGCCATAAACAACCGATGGCAACAGTCTTTATTCATGAAGGACTTACAGAAAATAGAGAGCAAGATTCTACCAAAGAGAAAATTACTTTTCCTTCTGACATTGATCCTGAAGTTTTCTATGAACTACCAGAAGAGGTACAAAAAGAACTGTTGGCTGATTGGAAGAGAACAGGATCAGATTTCCACACTGTACATAAATAAGCATGCTCAGAAAAAAGGGAAAGACGTTCTCAGATTAACAGTTTATTAAGCTCTTCTAAATTAAACACTAATACTTTCAATAATGTAGAAACACAATATAAAATGTTCCAGATAAAGCAAACATAGTTATGGGAAGTAAATTCTGGCACAAAGCATAAAAATATTCGTAACAGAAATAATGTAAAATGTTACCTTCCTCTTATTTCTAAAGCTATTTTATATTGCTTTTCAATAAAAAGAATATCATGGTCAGCATTAGTACATTTTCCATTCATTGTGGAAACATTGGGAGGAAGATATATATGACTATATAAAAAATAGAGTGGCCAAATCATTGGTATGCTGTACCAAAGAGCAGGTTTTTTCTATGAACTATGGAGTTGCTCAAGAAATTCACCTCATTAGGAAATAGCTATAAGAAATTCTATTGCCTGCTAAAAATGTATGTCTTTGACTGAAGTACTATGTACCATTTGATAAGTTGATTTAAAAAAAATACCAAAGCAATGTATATTCAATTAATGATTCTTAGTATACCTAGAACCTACCACAATGCCTGGCACACAGAGGGTGCTCAGTAAGTACTGAACGAATGAGTTGTGTGGCAGAGGCCCAGCAGGGAATTGGTCTGGGGAGTGTATTTGTTGTAAAGAACTAGAAGGAACTCTCCATACAAGTTGATTAAGGGAAGGATGACACTAGAAATTCAAAGTGATAGGTCTTTAAGAATGTCAGATAATGGAAGAAGTCCATTTCCTCTGGCCAGTCTGTAGGGTCTAAAAACAATGGATTAGGTGTGTTTTAATCTCTACAATTTTGTAGATGAAGATTTGGAGATGAGATTAAGGATATCATACACAGTGACTAAATTGATGGGTATCCTATTTCTCCCATTGTTGTTGCGTTCCCCTTTTGCCTTCAAGATTAAGAATCAGATATAAGCTTGTGGACATTTTATAATTTGTAGGACATAGAGAATGTTTCTAGAAGGCACCAAAGTGTGGGTCAGCATTGGATTGGAGTAGGTCTGTTCTCAAGTTTATATCCTTTCCAGATATAAGAAAGAAAGGATGATAAAAATAAAGTGTACAAACATGAATAAAAGTTGTTTAAAAATATTTTCTTCCTGGTGAGGACTTTTAATTAGTTTTAGATTTCTTGACATCTGAGAATTCCCTAACAAGGATTTTTAACAGGGAGTTGGGGTTATCAAAAACAATAACTTGGAGCAAGAATGTCAGAAATTATTTACCATGCAAATATTTAGTGCTTAGGATCAAAGGCTATAGAATTTTCTACATGCAGTATTCTGGTAAGGTAGTTAAAATTCATATGAAGGGATATATTACTTTTTTGGATAATACATTTTTACAAAGTTTCTAATAATCCTTGTAATTGTTTCAGCCAGAAATCATTGGACAACTGAAAAGTTAGAAAAAAAAAAAAGGTTAAGAAAAGTAAAGTAAACAGTTTGGGACAGTTTAAAAAGAGAAAATGAAGTAGTAAAAAGTACACTTTCTTAAGTGAGAATGCAAGGGGTATATCACCGCTCTGCTATTTATTTATTCTGTGGCCTTAAGTTGGTCTTTCAACATCTTTGTGCCTCAGCGTCTGACTTTTTAGATTATCTTTTTATCTCTATCTACTTTTAATAAAATAATCTCTTTTTTCTTTGGTGTTCTACAGGTTTACTGTAATGTTTGGAGATGTGAATTTCTTTTTATTTATTCTTGGTGTATGCTGGCTTTCTGTATCTTTCAATTCATTTTAGTTCTATTAAATTTTTAGCCACTCTTCAAATACTGCTGCTCTATTCTTCTAGGACTCTGATTGCACAAATGATGGACTTTCTTACTCTATCATGTCCTTTAATCTTTCATATTTTTCATCATCTTGTTTGTGCTGCATTTTGGTTAATTTCATCAGCTCTGTGTCTTATTTAGTAATTCATTTTTCAGCAATGTCTGATCGATTTAAAAACACTAATGATGGTTTTAATATCAGTAGTTATATTCTTCATTTTATTCTTTTTCTAATCTTCCTGTTTATTCATTATAGTCTCTTGTAACTCCATTTCTAATTTTAAAATTTTCATAAATATTTCTTATTCTATTTCTGATCATTTCAGTATTTTAAGTCTTATAAGTCTAAATTTTTGTGTGTACCATTGTGTACTAAATACTGTTGTGTACTATTTTGGCTTGTTTTCTTTAGTATGTGGCTAAGCTAAATCTGTGGGAAAACAAAGGACCTAAATTGTGTATACTTTCCTTCAGATGTGATTTTGCATTTGCTTCCGGTGAGGCAGTACCAAACCCATTGGCACCACTGTAGCCCCGGCAAGGTTCCTGACTGAATGCAGTTTGTCTTTGTCTTATTTTCAGCACTCAGACAAGTTTGCTTCTTGCCTGATGCTTCCTGCTCCTTTCCTGCTTTTGTTTCAGCTCAATTTTTTTTTCCCCTGTGTGAGTGTAGAGGGATGGGACCTGGAAATTTCTCTTATATAGCACAACCCAGCAATGAACTAAATCGTTTGTTTTCTTCAGAATCTAGTGTTTTGTATTGGGAGAACACTTAAGAGTATCTATCCCACCATAGTGCAGAAGTGCAAGTCTGTTTGGATTTACTTTTTCCATCTTATTTTGTGCTTTCTATTTTTTTCTTTTTCTATGCTATGCTTCTTTCCCATCCTTATCCCTTTCCTGTCTTCCTTTTGGCCTGGTTGAATTTTCTATTTTCCTTCTACTGATTTGAAATTTAAACATTCTAAGTTTTTCATTATCCTTAAAAATTTAACATACTTAACATCTAAAAATTGTATATATCTGTACCCTCTTTCCAAACAACACAAAGATGTTAAAATATATTAATTTTAATCAAATTCCTCTAGTTCTTTATATAACCTCCAAATTGGATATTGTTAGTGTTTTATATAGTTAATGTTTGGGTTTGCTCACATGTTTATCTTTGTTGGTGGGGGGGGGAGGCTCACCTTTTTTTCTTGTATTGCAGATGTTTCTTCAAAATACGATTATTTTTACTTTCTGAAATTATGTCTTCAGAACTGTGGATTTAGAATTGACTTCTCGGGTTGTTTTAAAATATATTTACTTTTATCTTTGGAGGTCTGCAGTTTTTACTATATGTCAAAATATATATTTATTTTTATCATGTTTGGGATTTGGGTGCTTTCTGAATCTGCAGATTTATGTCTTTCATTGAATCTGGATTAATATCAATATTTTAAAATTTCTATTGTCAAATATGTGTATAGGAAAGTACATAAATGAATGGACATGTTAATGGGTAATCATAAGCGAAAACTATGTAACATCCAGGTCAAGAAATAAAATATATCAAGGGATCAGGAAGTTTGGAGTTTTTTTTTTAATTGAGATATAATTGATATATAACATGTTTCATGTGTAAAACATTGATTCAGTATTTGTATATATTGCAAAATGACCACCATAATAAGTCTAGTTAACATCTGTAACCACACATAGTTAATTTTTTTTTTTCCTTGTGATGAGAACTTTTAAGATCTAAGGAAGTCAAGAGTTATTCTTGGAGTTTCATTACATAGGGAGGATTTAGTAAATTATTGGCCATGTGATTGAACTCCATCTCCAGCTTCCCTGTCCTACCCTCCCTGGATGTCAGACTGGCTCAAAGCCTCAACATTCTAATCAAGTGGTTGGTCTTTCTGATGTGGGCTATCTCCATCCTAAGTCATCTTGTTGATATAAGCTATCTAGGGACCCACAACGAATCACCTCATTAGCATACATTGTCAGTGTCCATGATGAATAACAAAGACACTCCCATTTGGGAAATTCTAAATGTTTTAGGAGCTCCATGCCAGGGACTCTGGACGAAGAGCAGAAAAATTCTTCATTCTACTGCAGAACATTTTGAAATAAGTTTTGAGATGTTTTATGGCCCCAAATGTGCTGTAACTAAGTAAATATTCTGTGTGTGCTTGAATATGTATTTTGCTGTTGGTGGAGTGTTGTATAAATGCCAATTAATTTAGTGTTCAAGTCTTTTTTTTTTTTTACATTTTTAAAATTCATTCATTCATTTATTTATTTTAACATCTTTATTGGACTATATTTGTTTTAAAATGGTGTGTTAGTTTCTGATTTATAACAAAGTGAATCAGCTAAATGTATATATATATATATCTCCATATCCCCTCCCTCTTGCATCTCCCTCCCACCCTCCCTATCCTACCCATCTAGGTGGACACAAAAAACCCAGCTGATCTCCCTGTGCTATGCGGCTGCTTCCCACTAGCGATCTTTTTTTTTTTTTCCCTTATTAGTTATCCATTTTATACACATCAGTGTATACATGCAAATCCCAATCGCCCAATTCATCACACCCCCACCCCACCCCCCGCCACCTTCCACCCTTGGTGTTCATACGTTTATTCTCTACATCTATGTTCCTATTTCTGCCCTGCAAACCGGGTCATCTGTACCATTTTTCTAGGTTCCACATATATGCGTTAATATATGATATTTTTCTCTTTCTGACTTACTTCACTCTGTATGACAGTCTCTAGATGCATCCACGTCTCTACAAATGACCCAATTTCGTTCCTTTTTATGGCCGAGTAATATTCCATTGTATATATGTACCACATCTTCTGTATCCATTCATCTGTCGATGGGCATTTAGGTTTCTTCTGTGTCCTGGCCATTGTAAATAGTGCTGCAATGAACATTGGGGTGCATGTGTCTTTTTGAATTATGGTTTTCTCAGGGTATATGCCCAATAGTGGGATTGCTGGATCGTATGGGAATTCTATTTTGAGTTCTTTAAGAAACCTCCATACTGTTCTCCATAGTGGCTGTATCAATTTACATTCCCACCAAGAGTGCAAGAGGGTTCCCTTTTCTCCACACCCTTTCCAGCATTTGTTGTAGATTTTCTCATGATGCCCATTCTAATTGCTGTGAGGTGATACCTCATTGTAGTTTTGATTTGCATTTCTCTAATAATTAGTGACGTTGAGCAGCTTTTCATGTGCTTCTTGGCCATCTGTAAGGCTTCTTTGGAGAAATGTCTATTTAGGTCTTCTGCCCATTTTAGGATTGGGTTGTTTGTTTTTTTACTATTGAGTTGCATGAGCTGTTTATATATTTTTGAGATTAATCCTTTGTCCAATGATTGATTTGCAAATATTTTCTCCCATTCTGAGGGTTGTCTTTTCATCTTGTTTATGGTTTCCTTTGCTGTGCAAAAGCTTTGAAGTTTCATTAGGTCCCATTTGTTTATTTTTGTTTTTATTTCCAGTACTCTAGGAGGTGGGTCAAAAAAGATCTTGCTGTGACTTATGTCAAAGAGTGTTCTTCCTATGTTTTCCTCTAAGAGTTTTATAATGTCTGGTCTTACATTTAGGTCTCTAATCCATTTTGAGTTTATTTTTGTGTATGGTGTTAGGGAGTGTTCTAATTTCATTCTTTTACATGTACCTGTCCAGTTTTCCCAGCACCACTTATTGAAGAGACTGTCTTTTCTCCATTGTATATCCTTTCCTCTTTTGTCATAGATTAGTTGACCATATGTGCATGGGTTTATCTCTCGGCTTTCTATCCTGTTGTATTGATCTATATTTCTGTTTTTGTGCCAATACCATATTGTCTTGATTACTGTAGCTTTGTAGTATAGTCTGAAGTCAGGGGGTCTGATTCCTCCAGCTCCGTTTTTTTCCCTCAAGACTGCTTTGGCTATTTAGGGTCTTCTGTGTCTCCATACAAATTTTAAGACTTTTTGTTCTAGTTCTGTAAAATATGCCATTGGTAATTTGATAGGGATTGCATTGAATCTGTAGATTGCTTTGGGTAGTATAGTCATTTTCACAATATTGATTCTTCCAATCCAAGAACATGGTGTATCTCTCCATCTGTTGGTATCATCTTTAATATCTTTCATCAGTGTCTTATAGTTTTCTTCATACAGGGCTTTTGTCTCCCGAGGTAGGTTTATTCCTAGGTATTTTATTCTTTTTGTTGCAGTGGTAAACGGGAGTGTTTCCTTAATTTCTCTTTCAGATTTTTCATCATTAGTGTATAGGAATGCAAGAGATTTCTGTACATTTATTTTGTATCCTGCAACCTTAGCAAATTCATTGTTTAGTTCTACTAGTTTTCTGGTGGCATCTTTAGGATTCTCTATGTATAGTATCATGTCATCTGCAAACAGTGACAGTTTTACTTCTTCTTTTCCAATTTCTATTCCTTTTATTTCTTTTTCTTCTCTGATTGCTGTGGCTAGGACTTCCAAAACTATGTTGAATAATAGTGGTGAGAGTGGACATCCTTGTCTTTTTCCTGATCTTAGAGGAAATGCTTTCACTTTTTCACCATTGAGAATGATGTTTGCTGTTGGTTTGTCATATATGGCCTTTACCATGTTGAGGTAAGTTCCCTCTATGCCAACTTTCTGGAGAGTTTTTATCATAAATGGGTGTTGAATTTTGTCAAAAGATTTTTCTGCCTCTATTGAGATGATCATATGGTTTTTCTTCTTCAATTTGTTAATATTGTGTATCACACTGATTGATTTGCGTATATTGAAGAATCCTTGCATCTCTGGGTTAAATCCCACTTGATCATGGTGTATGATCCTTTTAATGTGTTGTTGGATTCTGTTGGCTAGTATTTTGTTGAGGACTTTTGCATCTATATTCATCAGTGATATTGGTCTGTAATTTTCTTTTTTTGTAGTATTTTTGTCTGGTTTTGGTATCAGCATCATGGTGGCCTCAAAGAATGAGTTTGGGAGTTTTCCTTCCTTGCAATTTTTTGGAAGAGTTTGAGAAGGATGGGTGTTAGCTCTTCTCTAAATATTTGATAGAATTCACCTGTGAAGCCATCTAGTCCTGGACTTTTGTTTGTGGGAAGATTTTTAATCACTGTTTCAATTTCATTACTTGTGATTGGTCTGTTCATATTTTCTATTTCTTCCTGATTCAGTCTTGGAAGGTTGTACCTTTTTAAGAATTTGTCCATTTCTTCCAGGTAGTCCATTTTATTGGCATAGAGTTGCTTGTAGTAGTGTCTTAGGATGCTTTGTATTTCTGTGGTGTCTGTTGTAACTTCTCCTTTTTCATTTCTAATTTTATTGATTTGAGTCCTCTCCCTCTTTTTCTTGATGAGTCTGGATAATGGATTATCAATTTTGTTTATCTTCTCAAAGAACCAGCTTTTAGCTTTATTGATCTTTGCTATTGTTTTCTTTGTTTCTATTTCATTTATTTCTGCTCTGATCTTTATGATTTCTTTCCTTCTGCTAACTTTGGGTTTTGTTTATTCCTCTTTCTCTAGTTCCTTTAGGTGTAAGGTTAGATTGTTTATTTGAGATTTTTCTTGTTTCTTGAGGTAGGCTTGTATAGCTATAAACTTCCCTCTTAGAACTGCTTTTGCTGCATCCCATAGGTTTTGGATCATTGTGTTTTCATTGTCATTTGTCTCTAGTTATTTTTTGATTTCCTCTTTGATTTCTTCACTGACCTCTTGGTTATTTAGTAATGTATTGTTTAGCTTCCATGTGTTTGTGTTTCTAATGTTTTTTTCCCTGTAATTGATTTCTATTCTCATAGTGTTGTGGTCAGAAAAGATGCTTGATATGATTTCAATTTTCTTAAATTTACTGAGGCTTGATTTGTGACCCAAGATGTGATCTATCCTGGAGAATGTTCCATGTGCACTTGAGAAGAAAGTGTAATCTGCCTTTTTTGGATGGAATGTCCTATAAATATCAATTAAATCTATCTGGCCTATTGTGTCTTTTAAAGCTTGTGTTTCCTTATTAATTTTCTGTTTGGATTATCTGTCCATTGGTGTAAGTGAGGTCTTAAAATCCCCCAGTATTAATGTGTTACTGTCACTTTCCTCACTTAGAGCTGTTAGCAGTTGCCTTATGTATTGAGGTGCTCCTATGTTGGGTGCATATATGTTTATAATTGTTATATCTTTTTCTTGGATTTATCCCTTGATCATTATGTAGTGTCCTTCCTTGTCTCTTGTCACATTCTTTATTTTAAAGTCTATTTTATCTGATATGAGTATTGCTACTCCAGCTTTCTTTTGATTTCCATTTGCATAGAATATCTTTTTCCATCCCCTCACTTTCGGTCTGTATGTGTCTCTAGGTCTGAAGTGGGTCTCTTTTAGATGGCATATATATAGGTGTTGTTTTTGTATCCATTCAGCCAGCTTTTGTCTTGGTTGGAGCATTTAATCCATTCATGTTTAAGGTAATTATTGATATGTATGTTCCTGTGACGATTTTCTTAATTGTTTTGGGTTTGTTTATTGTAGGTCCTTTCCTTCTCTAGTGTTTCCCACTTAAAGA